CCAAAAAATTTTAAATTTTCCTTAAAAAACAGAAAAATTTCATTTTGATCAGATTTTGTTTTAATCTGTGACAATAATTGATTAAAAAATGGATGTGCTCTTTTCCTTTAACAGCACTCATATATATTCAGTTGAAAATTAGCATACTAAAATGTTAACCCTATAAAAGTGTATAATTATGTCTCAAAAAAATATATTAGTTAGAATTTTGAAATGTAAAATAAAATAAAATAAAATAAAATAAAAAAAAGTACTCAATAATAAATCAGATTTTATAATAACGGGGTGGGCATCATTCTAACATTCGAATCTTTTAAATAGCACATTTGATTTTGAAGTAACGCTCGTGAACCTCCTACAAATTAAAAATATCAGTAAATGACATGATAAAAATCAAGTTTTAAACTTTATAATTTATCTGAAATAACACAAATGCTGTAGGCGTATTGTAGATACATAAGGTACTCAGTATTTCAAAATCTTTGATAAATTGAAAATGGTAAAATCATATAATAAAAAATGTAAATAAATAAAAAATATTTAAATATTTAAATTAACAATATGATAGATTTATATTTTTGTTTTCTTCTTGACTTCATAAAACATTTCCTTTATTCTGTTATAATTATGGGGAAAAAAAAAGATAAGGTCGTTTTAGCAGGCAATTTGCGAAATGATCAAAGAAAATTAATATGTGATCATCATTATACTAATCCCATTCTTATCTAAAAAGAGCTTGCAGAGTGGGCAAAAAAAGAATTTAATCTATTAAAAGCCCCAGCTCAAAGTACAATTTCCGAAATTTTGAAAAAAAAGAAAGAGTTTGAAGCAATGTTTACAAGCGACCTTGGAGTTAAAAGATGTCGTATTGTTATGTTTTTTGAATTAGATATTGCATTGGCGAATTGGGTTTTACAATGTGAGGATCGAGGTATATGCCTAAACGGAGATATGATCAAAGCCAAGGAGAAAACATTAGCGGATTTAATAAAAATTTCAGAAGATAACCATCCAGAGTTCTTGAATGGATGGTTACAAGCTTTTCAAGAAAGACACAATTTTCATAACTTTAGGCTTCATGGTGAGGGTCATTCTGCTGATCTTGAAGCTATAGAATTAAACCTTCCTATTATTATTCGCAAAACTGATAAATATCCTTTAAGAGATATTTATAATATGGATAAGACTAGATTGTTTTATTCTATGGCTCCTGATTGTACTATCGCATTTTGTCAAATTGAAGAGGCAAAAAAAGACTGTATCCGACTTACCATTGCACTTATATCTAATGCTGATGGTACGCACAAGCTTCAACTCTTCATTATTGGTCATGCCACAAAACCTAGATGTTTTAAAAAAAAAAACTGAAGAGGAACTTGGGTTTTATTATCGAAATAATTTAAAAGCCTGGATGACTGCTAAGTTTTTTCAGGTAATAATCACAGGTTGAATATCGGGTATATACTAGGAGACTTGTCTCCCAGTATGTACCCGATTAATGTTGCTAGTCAAAATTGTTTTTGTTAATATCAAAATTTGTTTAAATTAAATTGTCTAAATGTCTAAATCGATTTTTTAATAGTAATTTTTTAAAAAATGGCAAAGTCAAAATTGCCTAAATTTAATTTGTCTAAATGCCTAAATGTCTAAATAATTTCGACTAACAACATTATACCCGATATTCATTAATTCAACCTGCGAATGCGAATCAAGTTAACAAAGTTATTTAATATATATATATATATTTTTTTTTTTAGGAATGGATTGAAAATTTTGACAAAGAAATGGGGGAGTCAAATCATCATGTTTTATTTATCTTGGATGATGCCTCTTCACATGTTACTGGTGCTGTTACTTTAGCTAATGTAGAAGTGCTTAAGCTGCCTCCATATATAACATCGAAGATACAGCCAATGGACGCTGGTATCATTGCATCGTTTAAGCTTCATTATTGTCGTATGCAGCTTCAACATGCAATTGATCAAGATGAAGCTAGGGAAAGCGACATATACAAAGTTAATCAGCTGCAAGCTATAAGATGGATAAAGGTTAGTGTTAGCATTGAACTATGTTCAAAATTTTTTTTAAAAAAAATTTGAAAATAGTTCAAATATTAGGCCATACAATTTAATTTCTTGGTTTTCATAACATGTATCTTTTAAATTGACTCGGCCTGCTGGCTTTTTTTAAAAAATTTCATAAAGTTTTTTATAGCTGTTCTCAAAAATTCTGGAACAATTGATAAAAATTGCTTCGGCCGAATTTGATAAGTTTTGAATTTGGTGTTTTCAATACTATTAAAATGCTGAATTCCAATACCAATACACCAAACTCAAAAACTTATCGAATTCTGCTGAGACAATTTTTATTAGTTGTCCCAGAATTTACGAGAATAGCTGTAAAATATCACCCGGTTATTAAATATACAAAAATTTTTTTTTGAGTTTTCTGGCCGGGTTATGAAAACCAACTGATTAATTTTCCATGGCCTTGTATTTAATTAATGTTCATAATTTTTTAATTAGCCGAAATATAAATAATAATAAAGATTGCCTAGAATGAAGTGTCTGCCAGCACAATCAAAAATTGCTAGTTTCATATGAAAATTGTATCTTCACGTGATGAAGATGGAGTACTAGTTGTTCCACCTCCTTCGCCTCCTCTTATTAAAAATGTAGAAAAAACCTTGTTTTTTGATTATGATAATGAATTAGCTACTAAGGAGCTTCAACAAACACTGGATGCATTGCATGTTCGTAATCTTATGCCAATTGAAAATTTGTTAAACCTTGAGAAGGAAAATGTGGAGATACATCAACAATTTAATGATGATGATTTTATTCAAGCTGCTACAAAAATAGACCATATAGAAAATGAAGTCATTATACAACCCTTAACTGGAAGGGAACAGTTGGATATTCTGCGCAGCGCTCTGCAAATTGTTGATGAAAAAATTGATAATGGTGGGGCTACAATGAAGTCTTTACGCAAGCTTCAATTACGTATTTGCAAGGAGGTCTAAAAGGAAGAGGCTGAAAAACAGATTCAATCAACACTGGATCAATTCTTTCAGAGGCTTGAATAATACTGCTAAAAATTTTAATTAAAAAGGTAAGCTTCACAAATAAAAAAAAAAATTATAACTTTGATTTCGCGATAATAATATAGTAGACAAAAATATTTTAAATAAATAAATGATTTGTCAAGAGCGTTGATTATATCTTGCTGCTAGTAGAATGTGTAAAATAAAAATTTAAGTTCGTTTTTGACACGATCGTAATGCAAATTTTGTGTACCATAAATGGCCAGTACCTGGTTTGATATAGTTCACGTATGGTCATAATTTTTAAAGCCTTCAATAAATGTATGGCGATAGTAAATAGCTAAGTTTATACATAGAAAGATTTAAACCACACATAAATTTACCTGCAAAGAACAGTCTACGTATATATACGACTGTAACGTTAAATCACATGGTAGTGAATTTTATACGATTTGATTGGATAATATTCATGTGATATTATTAAACAAATCGAAAACTTAGGCATAAAGACTATTGATTATCGGAAATTGCAGATTATTAGATATTAATTATGGAACAGGCATGGTGGCTTGATTTTTAATTGATTATGGCAGGTTATCGGTTTTGACAGGATCGGTTTTGGGAGGGTCGACTGTATATATAATTTTTAGCCCTTAGTATAGGTTAAAGTGCATCTTAGTTTATAGTTCTTTTTTTTTGTCAAATAGCTCTATATATAAATTTCTATGACTATATAGATAGTTTTTTATCTGGTTAGCAGGTTTTTATATCTGTAGACAAGTTCTCTTAGATTTTAAAATAGTCTTTTAACTCCTTTATAATCTGATCAATTTTTTTATATATTTGTTTTTTTTTTGTTTACTCTTTTCTCATTCTACACTTACCTATTTTTTTTTCTTTTTTACTTCTCTACAAGAAAGTGTCATCAGATTGATGACACTCTATTGTAGAGTGGTGATTCTGATAAGAGCAGTAAAAACCATCTGTTGATACTGGGGCTCAAATCCTTAGAAAGTTGAGGATTCCAGTAGAGAAAAATATTTACTTAGGCAGGTTGCTCTGAATTTACCAGGGTAATCATTAAAATTATGGGCACGTGATGCTGTTAATTATTTCTGACCTGCTAACCCATTACAATAACGATCCAAAATTGCAGGTCACATATTTAATTATAATCATCAATCAATTATAATTTATACTTAGTATTGCAAAGATTATCTAAATTTTTTTTTTCAATTAAATGTTTGCAATTACAGTATTAACATTTACCAAATTTATTTATTAAAATATTCAAAATTTGCTACATAGTAATTTTATTAATTCAAGATTTAACATTACTCGAATAGAGAATAGATCTTTAAATAAAGATAAGTTGGTTAAATTACTACTGTATATAATTAAATTTTTGTCATTATAAATACTAATTTTAAAAAATAATTTTTGTAGATAAGTATAGTAAATATATATCTAAAAAAAGTCAATTATCAAATAGTAGGAAAATAAAAAATTTTAATAATTTGTAAATTCAACTGGTTTTTTTATACATTTGGTAACTATAGTGTCTGAAATATGTTTATACATGTGTATTTAAATTGTTTTTGAAGAAAGGTAGTTTCAGCAAACTTTTCAACATTGCTAAAAATTTTAGCAACAATATAAAAATTAATTTTGATATTATATAAGATGGGCAATTTAGGCACATATGTATAAATACTTTAACTAGTGCTTGCATTATCATTATTTTAGAATTATTCATTTCATCTAGATATAATAAATACATCAAATATAGTTTCTTAGCAGTGGCTAATGTCCAAATTGCCCTCTGATGCCTTTTTTTTTTCTGCTTGCATTTTTTTTTCTATTTGCAATAATTGATTATATTCCATTATTGTACAAATATATTTTCAATTATAGGTGAATTTTTTGGCATTAATTCAATTGATTGCTTATTCAAACAATGCCCAATTTGACTTAATGTAGGAATGGGCTTCTTTTTCTAGATTTTTATCAATATCAATACTATTACAAGACAGATTATTGATATTAGTTTCTATTTCAATAGGTACAATAGATGAAGTGCTAGCTATAACTTTATCACTTTCAAAATCTTTTAAAACAAGAAATAAAGAAGTGGTACGGCATATAAAATTATTTTGTATTAATCATCGTCATTATCCATTGGGTGTATTAAAAACCTGCTAAACAAAATGTTTATACAAAAGGAAGTAACTTCTAAGAAAAGCTGAATAGCTGCAGACCTAATAATTAATATTCGTGAAATATAAACTTTTTGGATCAGTTGCAGTTGCTTTTTTATTAATGTTTTGTTTTTTTTACTCTTAATAGGTTTATCAATATTAATATTAGTATTTTTGTCTCTTGTATCAGCTGCATTCCAATCTTTCTTAAAATCTTCCCACTACTATGATACTATAATGCCAGTTACAATCTGCCAAAGTCGCTTCTTTTTTGTGCTAGTATTATCTTATTAATAATAGAGTTCCTCAAAGTCGAATCAAATCGAATCGAATATTAATCAAATCGAATAAATCTTTAATTTGAATTTGATTTGATCAAATCAAATCAAATCAAATCAAATAATATTCGAATATTATTAAAAATTTTAAAAATTTCATCACTTTTCAAAAATCACAATTTACACAAAATTTTACTAAGCTAATCGATTTTGTATATTAAATAAAAAATGTTCTTCTAATCAAAATACCCCTAGTCAGTTAGAATGAAAATAGCAGTTATCATAATAAAATTTTGCATAAATAGCAATTGAATCTATAGTTTCACTTCAAATCAATTCAAATATTCAAATATTTGTCAAATCAAATCGAATATTTTGTCAATTTGAATTTGATCGAATCAAATAAATTCATGATTTGAATTTGATTTGATTTGAATATTTGATCGAATCAAATCGAATTAAATCGAATTGCAGAACTCTAATTAATAAGTGTTCACAGTAATAAATCGAGTCTAGAGCGATTAAATCGATATAAATAACATCTTTTGATGATATTTTAATGGGCTTCAATCTTCATAGTTGTTTTACCAAACAGTATAGTATATTTAACAGACTGTGTCCACAAGTGCTATCAATCCGGCAAGTACCAGTTACTCCAAAGATATGCCCATAATAGTCTTAATGAGGTTTCAGTACAAAATTGATATATTTCTTTTATAGCATTTTGTCTAATATCTGTCAATATTAAGATAGTTCTTTGAGCATTGACAGATATCAGAAGATATATATCAAAATGCTTTTGCATAAACACCAGAATCATTGATTGACATGTTGATGCACAAACAACATATTTTCTTAGATTACAAAAATCCTCTGTTAAGTAAAATGCCAGATTGATGAAGTTAAATTCGTTTATAATTTGATTAATATCATAGGTTATATGTAGTTATATTTCACACTTCATATTATTTGATAGCTTGGTTTTTTTTTTTAATTATATTACTAACCAGATATTCGTTATTTAGCTTTTATAGTACAGAAATGTCAAGAAAATTTGGCAATACAGTTGGGCGGTTTTATTATTTTTGTTGTTAGTCAATAGAAGCACAATGTAAGAATTATAAAAATTCGAGTAGAAAGCGGCAGATATACTACGATTGTTGAAGAAAAATTATTTTTTAAGTTGATTTAGCTATTAATACAATAGAAGTTTGTATCTATCATAGTTTTCTTCATCTATACCTGAACCTTTGTATTAAGATGTCTGATAAATTACAAGAAGAGATCAAAGCACACTCACATCTTATTGCAATAGAATTGAAAAATCATCTGCGGCATCAGAGTTTTAATATTTTCAAGTACTCATCAAAGCATATTTATTATTAGAAATTCATAGCAAATCAAAAATTATTCCAATACTATAATGACTATATAGAATCTGTATATAAATTACTAAGTGAATATGAATACCATAGCTTCTAGCATTGTTTAGAAATAAAGAATTTAAATGCAACTGCTATTAGATTTATTATACCTTTGTTAGAAGAAATTAAAAATTTTAATATTAGCATCAATAAGATCTATCTTGATGCAACTTACAAAACAGCCAAAGGACGTTTTGAACTCTATCTCTTAAATTGTAATACAGGCAAATTTGCCTGCGTTTATTTTTTTAAACTTTATTTTTTTAATAAAATCTTAAATATTA